ACTGAGTCAGAATTTCTGGATTCCAAGATTCCAAAGATGCTTTTCAGTTCAAATGTACTTTATGGGAGCTTAGTTCTTGATCTCAGTCAGGAAATAAGACATCCTTATCCAAGAGGACTGAATGAACTGATAAGGAAAAGTGTTAATATGTGTCAACTTCCCCAGGCATTGGTGGAGCACACTTCTGGGTGTGTGTAGGTAGGTCATGGAGGTGTGACTTTGGATACTATGTCTGGTTCTTTGCCCCTTCCTCTCCAGTGCTGCTACCCTGCCCTGCTTCCTGATCCAGTGAACTAAGGATCTATTCTCTGTAACATCCTTCAACCATGATGTTCCTGCCTTGGAGCCTGCTCACCATGCACTCCATCCCTTGAAATCATGAGCTAAATTAAATCTCTCCTTTAAGGGGTATTGGGTATTGTAGCCTAACAATAGGAAAGCTAATACAGAAATTGGGTACTGAAGAAGTGGAGTTGTGGCTGTGATTGTATCTGACTATGTGGTCTAGAAGCCTTTGGAACTGTTTTGTAGGAGGAGTTTGGTAAGGTTTGGAGTTGGAGGTTACAGAAGCCTTAAAATGCTACAAGTAGAGCCTGATGAGGTTCAGAAGATCAGAATACTGATAGTGCATAGAGGTTAAAGCTATAGGCTTTGAGCAAGATAGCCCAAGAGAAAGGCCATGTTTTGAGCTTGCTTTGGTCCATTTCTTTTTCTATTCCCCTATTCCTCTTTTGTGGGAAGGAAATGTTTACCCTGTGCTATTGTACCTTGGGATTGTGTAACTTGTTCTTGATTTTTATAGAGATTCACAGCTAAGAGTTTGCCTTAAGTCTCAGAAGAAACTTTGACTCTGACTTTTGAAAAATGCTAGAACTATTGAGACTTTGAGGAAGAGATTATTACATTTTGGTTGTACACGATAGTTGTATCATCTAGGAAGGAATTTATTTTGGAATTAAGTGTGGTTTAGGGAGGTGTGTTTCGGTGTCATGTTGACAAAGGTTAGGTTGTTCTGGGTGGGTCATGGAGGTGTGACCTTGAGTACTGAATGTCCCTTGTTCCTCCTTTTCCTCACCTTTCCTACTTTTCAAGATACTGCTTACTGGCTGGATGCTAAAAACTAAGCAGTTTTGCTTTGCTATACTTTTCTGCCATGATGTTTTTGCATGGACCTTGTTAACCATGTACTGAATCCCCTGAAACTGAGAGCTAAATTAAACTTTTTCTTTAAATTGTGGGTATTTAAGCAATAGGAAAGCTTATTAATACATTATGTTCATTTGTGTGGAATATTATATTATTTTTGATGTCTTATTTTTATGGATGCATGAAGAAGTACTCTTGTTCTTTCTTCTTAAGCTATCCCTGACCTTCAACTTAATAGACTATGTATACACAAATAAACAAAATGAAACATTTTAAAGTGGCATCTGATTTTCATGGATATTCTCAATATTTAAAAACAAATACCTTTTAGTGAGCCTCCTTTCACGCCAAAATTGTTCTTTGTATAGATACAAGAATTTGTCCTTATTTTTCCAAGGTATAATTAGACCAAAGTCATGCTAAAAGGGATGAATTTTTTTTTATGGTACTGGGGATTGAACTTGGGACCTTGCACTTGCAAGGCAGGCAGCAGAACCAGTGAGCTAAATCTCCGGCCCTCAAAGGGAATAATTTGAGAATGATGTTATTAACCAGGGACAAGATCTTCTTATTAAAAAGTTTTGTTTTTATATGTCTACAAACCCCTCTTCATACACTGGCCTTGATGTTTGCCTTCAGGTCCCATGCTTACTAAAACCTAGGGAAATTAGCAAATTTTGAAGACCTCAAGAAGGGAGGAATTTGCACTGATTTCTTGATACTGTAAGTAAAATTACTTTTTAAAAATTTTTCTTGGATATAGGCCCCAGGCCTTGGGATGGAGGAGCAAATAACCCAGGCTTTTAAGAGTCTGAGATTGCCAGGTATAGTGGTGCACTCCTGTAGTCCCAGCACTCAGGAGGCTGAGGCAGGAGGATCACCATGAGTTTGAAGCCAGCCTGGGCTACACTGTGAGTTCCAGACCAGCCTGAACTACATAGCAAGACCCTGTCTCAGATAAAAACGAGAAGTCTGAGATTTATTGTGAAGATTATTGAACAGAAGGTAATTTTTTTCTTATCTTAGCAAGACAGTAATGTAATTCAAAGCTCTAGATTTGCAGAGAAAACTTGAGACTTAGATGTAGTCAAATTGCTACATGGATATAAAGAAATAATCATATAAAACCTAACAAGACTACTCTTTTTGTGGTCAAGAATAATTTTGAATATTATTCATGATTCTAAGGCAAGATACTATTAGAAAAAAAATCTGAAACTTGGGAAAAGACACAAAGGAGGGACATCGTTTCACTGGCATCTTGACAAGGCCACAGGAGAATCAGAATCAGGACTCTGGACCACCTAAAAACTTACTAGAATGGAAAATTCTCAGATCCCACCCCAGAGAGACCAGCCAGAAACACTGGGCAGGGACAAGCAGTCTGAACTTTAACAGGCCTTCCTGATTCTGAGGTACCTCTCATAAAATGGGTGAGCCATTAATCTGGGGGAAAGTGTTTAGTTCAATTCACTATTATCAATTAAAGACTTCAGATTTAGTAGTCTCATGTAACCATTGATTTATTTTTGTAGAGATGTAAATAATTTCTGTCCAATGGAAAAGAAAGCTTGAAAGATTATGGTTTATGGTCCTGTTGGGCATTTAAACAGATTTATTTGTCACTCAGCAATCTTGCACTATCATTTACCAAAATATTGAACTTTTTTAATGCTCTTGAAATTAGTTTTGACATAATAATGATTTTCCTAATTAATGAGAAAATCTTTGATAGGTGTTCATTTCATATTTTATTGAGGAAGGTTTTTAAGCTTTTGCAAACTATTGTCAATATGCATCATATTGTGGCAATGTGGTAATGAGTTCCAAAACTATTAGATTTCCCTCACCCCAAGATAGCTGCTACATAAAATAGCAGCCTTCTCCTTCCCACAATACCCTGCTTTGCACTTAAAATATGGCTTCTCCCACCAACCAACAGCCTTCTTTCCAGCATGCCCCTTTTCCAGGCTCCTCCAATCCCTAGCCACTACCTCACTCAACCCCACCCTAGCTCCTACAAGCCCCACCCCAGCTCCTATAAGAAGTGCGCCCTATCTCAGCCATACTGCTCTCTCTTCTTTGTTCAGAGACAGCCCAGCAGACTGTTCCTGCAATAAAGGCTTATTGTGGTTCTGGTCTGGTCTTGCTTTTCGGCTCATTTACCTGACAAATACTAGGTAGTATCTTGATGGTAGGACCATATCTGTTTGCTTAACATTTCACCCTTGCATCAAGCAGTGCATGATACAGAAACTTCAAATAAATATTTGTGCAATTAACAAACATTACCTAAAAGATGCCTGATTTTTAAAAGAGGAAATTTATAACTGGCTTTTAAATATGACGAAAGTCCTGGGAATTAATTCCATTCTGGATGAACATTTCTGACAAATGGAGTCTTACACACTTTTGACAGAAATATACAATGTACAGCATAAAAAAAACTTCCACACCACTGCTTTTCCTCTTGCTTCAGGACATCCTGGGCTCTGATTGGCACTGTACTACTGTATACTATTGCACTGTACAATAAGCACACAGCAGCGCAACTGTGACAATGTCCAGCAGATGTGAGCTACTTACACGATTTGTTCACATCTATGTGTATTCATAATGTGAGGTCTGTTCATATAAGTTCACAACTCAAGTTTGTTAAGTCAAGGACTTACTGAGTTTTAAATTCAACCTCAATACAAGCTGGTTTTTCTTCAGTGGAAAACGTGGTTGAAGTAATATTCAGAGTGATGTGCCCCAGTGGAGCACTGGATATTGTTGCCGTATAATATAAATCAGAATGGATCACAGATGCATAGTAATAAAAAAAGGAACCAAATGGAAGGGTGAACAGTTTAGGTAAACCCATTAAAAGTGTCAGAAAATGTTTAAAGTGTATGTCTTACTGAAAAGGAGTGAAATATTAGTACTGTTTTCACATACTTCCTAGATTGCATGTAGAGAAAAAAAATCTGTTGTCTTCTGTAGGTTTATACCTCCTGCATCCCATATAGTTTTGGGGGGCAGTGGTGGATTGTTCTCCTTCTATCTCCATAGAGTGGTACATTATATTCATTCGCAAGCAAATTTCTGCCTCCTGAGAACTTAACCCTGAGCAGAGTGATAAATAAGGGGCTTAAAGTTCAACATTACCATATCAATATTTAAAATGACAGGCCACGGTTTCCTGATGATTTAGTCTAGTTTGTTTCCTGGGACTGTCTGCTTCTTCAGTTATTCCTTCCTTTCTGCAACTTTCCACTAATTCCCTTTTGCTTAAATTAGGCAAATCAAGACTACATGACTTACAACCCAAACATCCTAAGTGATATAATATCTATTTTTCTGATGAAATTATTTAACTCAATCGAGTGCCCCACACAGTGGTAAACTCCTCTCCCATGGGTCTCATTTGTAGATTTTGATGGAATGAGTTTATAGTGCTCTTCCAGTAGAGTTAAAGAGCATCTCACTTATATTGAATAGCTGACTTCTCCTTCATGGAAGACGTTTCCTTGTAAGAATCTTATTTATAATGGGAAAATATTCTAAGAGTTTTATTATTTATTTATTTATTTTTAAATTTTTGGTACCAGGGATCCAACTCAGGACCTTGTGCTTGCGAGGTAGGCGTGGTGCCACTGAGCCAAATCCCCAGCCCTATTCTAATATTTTTAGAAATGAAAATCAATGTATCTTTGTGGATTGACCTGCAGGGCAGAAAGGTTAAACTAGAAATTCTAAGAAATTTGTAATAATATTATATAATTAAAATAAGTAGAATGCAACCAACAGAAAAAGTACTTTATTTATAACACCATTTTGTAAACAATCACACTGTGCACTTTTTAATTAAAACAATAACATGTTTTCTCTATGGATTTATAGCAAACTCTATGTAAAGTCAATGAGTTAATACAAGAGAAAAGATGAATAGGTGAAAATTATCTGAAAGTGTCAAATTACAGCACTTGATACAAAGACAGATAACCATCTGTACCATAAAAATTTACATGCCACAAAACATTAATTTATAATTTAAAATATACAGTAAAACACATTTATAAAAAGCATCATTTTTCTTATAAACCAGTGAATTACTTAGAATATTAAAACTTATAAAATATCAGAAAATATTGCAACTGAGGTAAAAATTTAAAAATAAACAAAACTATCATTTTTAAAGACTAGAAAGTGAACAGAGGACAGATGACATTTTCTGAGGACTGTGTCACTCCTTGATATTTTGAAGCAGCTTCAACAAATGTGACTCGATAACCTGTTGAACTAGGACAGACATATAAGCAAGATCTCAGCACAGTGTTTATAAACTTTAAAAAACTATCAAATACAACTAACCCCCACTGTTTTCTTAAAATAAAGCTATTTCTTTTTTTGGATTTTTGGTACCAGGGATCGAACTCAGGACCTTGCACTTGCACAGTGCCACTGAGCTAAATCTCTGGCCCAAAATAAAGCTATTTCTTGGTAGGAAAATTCATAGTCAGAGGCCAATAATGCAAAGTCTTAAAGTCTTAAAACTCAGTTGGTCACTGACATAGGAACTGTTCACATTATTGTACTTGCTGTGTCGGGGTTTTTTAAACTGAAGAATCCAGGGTAGAAGGTTGTTCTATAAATAATGTGCTATACAAATATTAATCTTGTAAATAGGTATGCACTAGTCTTCCAGTAACTAATTATTTGGATCAATGAAAAGCACAATAAACAAACTCATTTCTGGACTTTGTAGGAATTTGTTTACTTTGTCCACAGTTTTAAGTGTATACTGGGAGTTAGGGTAACATGCAATATTTTTTGTCTACAAGTGATGAAAATATTTTGGGTAGCTGGCTTAAACTATTTATAGAGCTTTAATGAAATGAAATCTGAGAGTTCTAAAATACTTACCACTTCTATAGCCCAGGGCTACAGCTAAGTCCATAGAATTATACCCAGAATCTGTTTCAATTGTTGGATCAGCTCCATTTTCTATACCAAAATAGAAAAATCCACAAAAGTAAATGAAAATGTGGGTTTGTTTGTCTATTACTGGCTCATATGTAAATAGACTTTCAGTCAACTTGGAGGCATTTTAGGATTTTTCAAAAAAGCACTCAGTATACATGGGGTACACAATTTGCTTTGGTGAGTTGGAGGGAAGACACATCAAAGAGGTGTCCTCTGGAGTGTCCTCTATAGTTTCATAAGCAAACACAAAACTCATACAGAAAGACACTGTGGACATGGAAAACACTAGTGGACTCCAGTGTGACCCCAAATGAAAGCAACAAGGATGAAAGCTCCCACTCTAGATGTGGCGTGTAACAGGAATCCTTCTCACTGCACCAAAGGGTAGCAAGTGCCTGCTGCAGGTGCAGGATGAACATGTTCCACAACTCTTTATGGCTCTCCTAATACCAGGGGAGGTCAAGTTGAGAAAGGAAAATCCTCACATGGCATTTTCTAAATAATTTTCATTTCATCTGCTTACCTAAAAGCATTTTTACACATTTCACATGATTCCCATGTACAGCATAAAGTAAAGGTGTCCCTCCATTCTGCAAAAGCAAAAGGTTTTAGTTATCAGTGGGAACAAGAGTGAAATAAATGCTACTGTGGAAAATTTTACTAAGAATTGGCCATGTTTTACAATAAGAATTGGGTATATAAGGGCCAGGGCTTTAGCTCAGTGGTTCCACTGCCTGCCTTGTAAGTACAAGGACCCGAGTTTGATCCCTGGTGCCAAAAAAAAAAAAGAATTGAGTATATAAAAGTAGTTCATAAGATTTTAATACTTTATGAAGGGCCAGGCGTGGTGGCGTGGTGGCGCATGCCTGTAATCCCAGCAACTAGGTGGGGGTGCGGGCTGAGGCAGGAGGATCGCTATGAGTTCGCGACCAGCCTGGACTACATAGTAAGTTCCATGTCAGTCTCAACTACATAGTGAGACCCTGTCTCAAAAAACCAAAAACCAAAAAACTCTGTGAAGAATACTTAAATACAATAATTGAGTTTATGACATTAACTTGTTTTTCTGGACAGTTAAATAAATACTTTAGTTTCTCCCAGGTGCTTAATAAAATTTATGGTTTCCCCAAAAGGAAATATATCCTAGAAGTTTTTAGTAATTTTAAATTCAGTATCATAGACTCACCCAGTCATATTCATTTACGTCAACTCCACAATCAAGCAGCATTTTGACAATATCTGTGTAGCCTTTACTACAGGCCAATGACAGTGCACTTTCTCGACCTTTTCCTAAAAGTTGGGGATCAGCGCCCTAGTGTGAGAAGTGGAAATAAAAGACTTTCAATTAATTTGAATACGAACGTTGTTACTTCTGCCAGTACTAATTACAACTCAACACTAAAGTCAGATAATGTTCTGGGGCTAATATGGAAATGATGGAAACTTTATTCATGGATGTTGTTACTACCAAGATTGTCTGAATGCCTTCCTTCCTCCCTGTGGCTCTCTCCTTCCTAACTATCCTTTCACTCTGTGGTTGAGTCACAGCTTCTCTAAGAAGCCTTCTACAGGGCTGATAGTATTTCCATTCCTGCTGTGCTTGGGAGGGCTGAACATTAAATTATTTCTCACTGTTATGTTTCTTCTATGATTAGTATTGCCTTCCCAACTAGACCTAAGTTCCATGAGAGTATGAAAAGCATTGAAATAATTCTGTTGCACCTTCCATCAATTATATCTAGCTGGCTAGAGATATAAAAACTTTTGAAGACTTAACTGAATTTAAGTAACTATACATATACATTTTCTGAGGTATTTTCCTTACATTCTGAAGTAGAAACTCTACCACAGCTATTTGCCCGTGTGCTGCAGCCCACATCAGAGGAGTAAATCCTTCTTCATCCGTGTGATTGATAACATTTTCTATTTAAAAGAAAAGCAATTTTTGTGATCTAATTTAATAACCACATATTAATATCACTATGAAATTACTAGCATCCCAAAACTACTCAATAAACTCATTTTGTGCTGACTTTTGTTCGCTGAAGTCCTATTATGTGTTGTTGTAATCTGCAGTGTAAATGTATTAAAATGTGCTTCAATGTACACAGCTGGTTCATACAGTGCATCCTTTAATGTATAAGCCACCAGAGCTTGGGGGTGAAGGGACCTCAGTGGTATGCCTAGCATGTGCGAAGCTTTGACTTCAATCCTCAACACCACAAGTAAATAAAGGAAAGAAGGAAAGGAAGAAAGGAAGAATAAGCTACCAGGAACGACATATGCTAAGTACAAGGCAGTCAACAGAACACTGGCTTCAGAATCAAGAGACCAGAGTTTGAATCCTGGCTCTGTTGCTTTCTAGCACTGTGACCTCGGGCAGTTCATTTATTTCTCAAATATACAGAATGTCTTGCTTACCTCTGTCTAGTTGGGAGGGTCACAATAAAAATGAGATTATACGATAGCCCTTAGCATTACACAAATGTATATTACTATACCAACTTCAAAATCTTATTAATGCTACCTTCTACTGTGCAACTAACATTGCTGCCTATAAACTTCTCTCATTTGTGTGGTTTGCTACCATAATATTAAGATAGAATAATCTGCAATACAGTACTATGAAATTCTACCTTCAACCTCATGTCATTCTCTATACTAGTTAGAAGCTCCACAATTTTTTCTGTGAGTTTAATTAGCAGACTAAGAAGTAAATTTTCAAATAATTACATACAAACAGAAAGATAATGATGAAGTAAGCCTTTCGTATAAAAATAATATGATTTAAAAGACAAAACTCATTGATCATGTCCCCTGAATTCAATAAACACTGTGAGGATAAATACCTAACATTTTAAAGAATAAAAATAAAAGCAATCTTTTACTTGATCTTTTCCTCATTATATCAAAACATATTCCATGAGTCAAAGATTAAAATGTAAAAAAAGGAAACCACAGAAATTCTAGAATAAGAATGAATAGCTTTCTGAGTGGGAAATCTTTATTAAGCAGGATGTGAAACTCAGAAGTCCCAAAGAAACAATTAACTTACCACTTAAAATGGTAAGCCCTTGTTTAAAAAATCGTAAGTCAAAAGAAAAATGACAAATGAGGAAAAACTATATGCAACCTAAATAACACTAAGCTAATTCCTTTATTTAAATATGAGCTCATAAACATAAATATATGGCAGGCAGTTTATACAAAAAGAAACTCAAGGAGATGGTAATTTTAAAAATATAAAGAAATTACTGTGAAATTCCATTTTCACCCACAGATTAGTGAAAATTTACCTCTGATAATTCTGCATCAGCAAGGGCATGAAGAAATAGAAACTAACTCTAGTGCAAGGACCAAGCATGCAGTTATAAATACCAAAATAAAAATCGAGGGCTGAAGTAGAGTGCTGCTTAGTTAAGTGTGAGGTCCTGGGCTCAATCCCTAGGACCAAATGAACAAACAACCAACAATCATAAGCCCTTTGACCCAGCAAATCTAACTGTACAAATTTATCCAATGGATATATTTTAAAAGCATGCCAATAATACTGTCATTCAGTAGTAACAGTTTGGAAAAAATATGCAAAGTTATAAAGTTTTTAAAATAATAGAATTATTAAAAGGAATAAAATAGATCTATGAAAAGCTTTCCAAACCATTAACTGAAAAAACTAAGACAATACAGTATATATGATGTTTGTCTATGTATGGAAATAACAAAAAGCACATACACATTCTCACATATATCCTAAAATAGAAACCTCTTTTAGAAAAAAATTTTTAAAATATAAAAAGTAATTCTTACTTTTAGGGAGGCTGGGTGGTAAGGGAAGCTACAAGTTTTATACTTTATATTACTTCAGTTTTTCACTGTCCACTGGGTTATCTCCTCAGTGATATCACACAATTACTTTTATCTTTATACTTTCCTATATTGAAATAAAACCTATCAAATCTTATTGAATTTATTTTAATGTTACCTTGTTCAATGCGAGTAGCCAGGTAGAGCATCTCTCCCTGAGCTGCCAACTGGTGGATAGACAAAGCTGAAACAATACCAGAAAATGGTGCATTTTCATCTGCCACACTCAACTGCCCACAGGTCATGTTTGTGGGGCAAATTTCCTTCCCAAAATAAGAACTCATTTTTTTTTTATTTAAAAAAATTCTAAATTAAAGTATAACCTAACATTACAGGTACCTGTTCCATACCTGAGAACAACTCTTACATGTTCACTGAAGGTACTGCAATATAACATCTACAAATTGTTATTTTCAACAAAATTATTTTATTCCAAAGAAATGGTATAGGCTCTTAATTTTAAAAATGTTACCTCTGTATTTAACCTAATGAAGAAGACAGGTCTAAAAGACACAATGATATTCTTTTTGTCTTCTTACTGACTGATTCCATTGAAGTATTTTTTTGGTTTCTATTTTGTTTTGTTGTCAGCATCTCACCTTGTTGCCCAGGGTGGTCTCAAACTCCTGAGCAAGTAACCCTCCACCTCAGCCTCTCAGGTAGCTGGGACTACAGGGTGTACCCACTGTGCCTAGCTTTTCAGAAATCCTAAATATTTTTATTTCAAGAGCCCAGGGGTTTTCTTGCACATTAGGCAAAGTGAGGTCATAAATGGAAAATTGGCCTTGAGAGTAAATTCTTGAGGACAGGCCTAATTGTGGCAAATTAGCCATGTGATCTTGGATGACTGATTAAATATTTTTGTTTGTAATATGAAGGATGTGAACCAGATGCTATTTCTTTTCAGTTGAGAAGTCCTATGTTTGGGATATTTTAAGACCATCTCTTTATTTATTTTATTTATTTATTTATTTATTTTTTTGGTACCGGGGATTGAACTTGTGTCCTTGTACTTGTGAGACAGACAGCAGAACCACTGAGCTAAATCCCCAGCAAGACCATCTCTTTAGAGTAACGCCACAAAGGCATTGTTCTTTGGGAGTTCTAATTAAAAAAAAAACCAAACTTAATATTACTTGATCATTGACTTTAGTGATACAATTATCTAATTTAATACACAAAGGAAGGTAGCAGGGAGGACTTTAGTAAGCCTGAACATGCCAGCAGGTGGAGGGAGAGGCCTAGGAGACTTTTCTTGACTCAGCTGCTACAGCACGGGATTCAGAAATCAGGAGAGAATCAGATGAGATTGGGCACATTCAGGGTGGTATGACCATAGACAGGAGGGATTTAGTATGTCCAGTATAAAAATAATGATTTCATAGAGCTTTGGAATATAGGTAAATTTACATTATATTTTCAAATTCAGTGATTAGCATCAAATTGCTATTTATCACTCATTTATTTATCTATTCTGCATTGAATATTTTAAACTTAAATAGAAAAACTTTATTTTCTCTACAAGGATCATACATGCTTAAAAATTACGGATTCAAAGTTTTAAACAAGGTGGTTTTATATTCAAACTATTATATTCAAAAGCAACATTATAACAGAAATCACTCAGGTTTTCCTAGAAAATCATTTATTAGTGATCTTGTTTATAAGTAAAACATGAAACTTTTGCACTAAAAATACAACACAATGACAACATCTTGATATGCAAAAAGTTTATGGTTAATTACTGTTATTTTTTAATTTTTTTTGAGATAGTCTCATTCCTGTAGTTCAGGCTGGCCTTGAACCTGCAGCAATCCTTATACCTCAGTTTCCCAAGTGCTGAGATTACAGGCATGTGTCACCATGCCAGCCAGTTAATTACTAATTTTTAAAGTAAAGGTATAAAGTTTTTAAAAATTAACATTTCAATTTGTATTTCTTCTCAATAGAGAAAGACAATGTGAAGTATTTAAATATGTAATCATCTTTGAAAAAGTTTTAATTTACTAAAAGTATGAGGACATCATTTAAGTTTCAAAAAAGGGAATATGCACTTCATGAAAATAATATTTCATAGCCATACTTCTGAAACTATTCTATTAGCAATAACATTTTAATACATTAGTAGCACATACTTACAATTTGCTAACAGAGGTGTGGTAGAGACCTCATTTCCTCTGTGTTTGTTGGTTAAAGTAGTTGACTGTTTAATGGGTGAGAAATGCTTTGTGGTAGAGGGTGTGTAGACGTGTCTTACTTGAATTCCAGGAGAAGGAGATGTATGGATATTGCATTCAGCTAAATAAAATAAATTTAAACACATTAAAGCAGTATTTTAATGACAAAGCATTTCAATAAAAGTTCTATGTCAATGTCGACATTAAAAAAGAAATGTATGTGGTATCATAGCTTTAATGCCCAATTATCAAGTGATATTACATTGTTTTTGGTCGTAAAAGTCTATACTAAAAATATGAAAGTTCCAGAAAGAAAATTATTAATCTTGAGCAACTTTATTCTAAGAGATTAGTTTTATTATTCAATAGGTCATTATAAAAGTAAACCTAAGGTGTATTGATAGGCTACTGAATTAAAGCATTTGAAACTAGTACAGATGAAATATTTACAAACAGGGAACATCAAGTTAATTCATTTCAAAAGACTAAGGAATTTTTCTCCTGTGATTTTTTTAAAAGGTGCCATAAAAACTTCATTAGAGAACTTTGTAAATAAAGATAGGCAAGGCATTTTTTAAAAATCATGTATTTCCTTTAAAATAGACATAATATAATATGAAATTACTTAATTCTGTTTTTTGTGAGATTCTAGAAAATCCTATTAATCCTATTAAAAATCCAAACTCTTCCTGAACTCCAAATCTCATGATGGAAAAAGAAAAAACCAAAAGAACAGAAACAAAACAGAACCCAAAAGAGGACCAAAACAACCAACAACAACAACAAAACCCACTCAAATAAACAAAAGCGAAGGCAGATATTTATACCATAACTTTCAACCTTTAAATAGGACAGATGCCACCTCCAGGTCAGAATTGACTTGATCTTGAATATTTTTACTATCCTCTTCATTTAAGGATTTCACAAATCGGGAACACACATTCATATCAAAGCGGTTGGGCAGTATGAATTTCATTCCCATGGCAACACCCTGAACTGATCCTTCCTCTGAATTTGGATCCAGTGGATGTTCTATTTTAATGTCTGGCATGCCAGAGAGACCATAATTGCTGGGACACTCTTCCACTATCAGCTGGGCTCCAATGTCCAGGTTCGATGTTGTAGCCATGATTTCAACTATAGTTTTCAATAATTAAAACACTTCTTCATGATTTCCTCTTGGAATTATACGAATGATATCCAGTGTATTCTTAGAATTTGGATATTTAAAAATCTGAAAGAAAAATATTAGATAAGTAAAAGTGTATAAATTTAGGTAAAAGTAAAAAAAAAAAAATTTCAATCAAATTCCAAACAGTGCTCCTAAAGAATCTATACATAATAGAAAGCATCTAATTGCCATCTAATCATAATTGCCATCTATTAGCTGTGTGACCTATATAAGTTACTGAACCTTTTTGAGCCTTGTCTTATTTGTAAAGCAGGGTTACCACTATAAACCTTACTGGATCTTTCTTGGTAAAGAATAAGTAAAATATAGAAGATTATGACTTCCATTACTACATTCTAACAAATTTTAGTCATCATTGCCAAAATATTTGCAACCAGTGAAAATAAACTTTCAATGTTAAAGCTTTAACCTTCTACCTGAAGTTCATTTTTTTAAAAAATGCTATATTTACATAAGTGGTACTTAGTCTTACTTTGTTGTAACTTGTGTTACATCTAGGTTAATTAGCATTGTCATTTGTAACACTTGTAATTCCTAGCTAGTGAAAGGCCATGCAAAGCTTCAGTTTTGATGAATTCATGGCATATTTATTAGTTTTTGTTCAGATTAAGCATTAGCAACTTATAGTAGATTTTTGTGAAACATAAACTATGTAAATTATAGATTGGCTTCTCAAGATACCTAACTGTCCCAGATAGATAAACCCTTGAAACAGGAGGAAAATGAATATCCAGTTGATTTTTCACGTGCAAGTTTACTGCCTCTTAGAAATTTTGAGTTTTAAAATTAGAATAAAAACAGAAAAATGCATTAGGATCACAATGGAGCAGGGGTTAGCAAACTATACATTTATAGATAAACACTGATTAGTTTTATTTATTTATTTATTTTTGGTACCGGGGATCGAACTAGGGTCCTTGCTCTTGCGAGGCAGGTCACTGAACCGCTGAGCTAAATCCCCGGCCCAACACTGATTAGTTTTAAAAACACTGATCCTTGTAACAATCCTCTGAGTAGGCAGAGCAGGTAATACTGTGCACCTAGGAGAGGAGGAAAAGGAAGCTCACATATTTGATTATGAGGAATTTTATCCACCACTACTGATTTCATCACTCTGACCATTAAAATAAGCAGCATGCACTCAACTAGTACAAAACTTCCTAGGAGAAAGAACTGAAGAAATAATACAAAAGAAAATAGGTAACAAAAGCTGTATATTTTAGCAAAAGAAAAGGAAACCAGAATAGAAAAGCAGTGATTGAAATGGAGACAGAAGTGCAATGTAGGAAGTCTGTGGGTCCTTAAATGACAATGACAATGTGAACTGTTTGCTGAGGGAAGAACCATTTCCTCCGTTCTCCTATGAAAAGGTGCACTAAATACCACTTCCCAAGCCTTCTCAGCACCCTCCATCTGGTTCTATTTTAGGATTTTCCAATCTCTTGAAAGTTGTCTTTTAAACACTAACTCAAAAACTCTATGATAGACGCCACTGTTACTAATCATTGCACACAAAACTGCCCTTGGTCCTACTAGGTGCTCCGTAAGTATTTTCTGCTCTGGGCTTTAATATTTTTATGCATTTTTTTCTGTCTAACATTTGCTGATTAGATTTGTTTTTTCACTTCCAACATGTACTAATTGGCTGTGCCACCCTCGACCCATAAGTAAGCTTTGCTATTCAATTACAAAATGAAGGTGTTGAAATGGGCATCACTAATAAATACTCTTCCCAACTCTAAACAGCTATGTTACAAATCAGGGTTTTCAGACAGAATCACCGGTCTCTGAGAGAAGAATAGCACAGGTCCTTACGGGAGGAAAGTGGAAACAACGTGTATCTCTGCACAACCCTGGAGAGGAGAAACGAAGTTGACTCGGAAGCCTAGGGATGAAGAGAAAAGGGGGATTTAGCTCAGTGGTTTCGCCGCCTGCCTCGCAAGCCCAAGGTCCCGAGTTCAATCCCGGTACCAAAAGGCCAAGGGTAGCCAGGCTCACCTCGATCTGTCGTCAGACAGAGCTCAGGTGTGGAAAGTCTAACGCGGTAAGAGAGCAAGCGGGCTAGGCTCTAGTGGAAGATACCAACAGGAGCCTCCCGATTCTTCCTAACCCTGAAATAGTCCTACACGGAAGGGAAGGTGCTGTGGAAATGAAAGAGGTCCCACAGGAGACAGGTGTCCCGACTGTCGCCACAAGCGCCCAGGTAGGAACGCGCTCCTCAGGCGAGCGGACCGAACCCAGGGGCCGCGGATGGAGGAGCCTCGCAGGGAGCGTTCGGCCTTTCCCTGGGAGGCCAAGGGTTCCAGATTCGATACAGACCTCAAGCCCCGGCTTGTTTTGGCCGCGACGTCACTTCCGACTTCTTTTTTTGCCTTCTGGCAAGAAAAGGTTCCGCATCGCTGCGGCCGAGAGGATTTCCAGGATTTCTGTTTGTTTGTTTGTTTGTTTTTAGCTGCCTTTAAACTCTTCGGTCCACCTGCTGGAGTGCTACGGAGATAGGGTCATCTCAGGTGACAGCTCCGGGTCACTAGAGCAACGCCCCAGCCTCTTCCGGCGGCTACTCCTCCTCCCGGTCGCCCCGCCCATCTGACCGCCTCCGCCACTTCCTGGTTGCGCGAGCCTCTTGAGCCTGCACGTTACGTCAGCATCAGTCTGCGCGGATACGTCATCTCCGCGCGTCGTTCTCTTGGCCGTGTGTTCTGGGCTCTCGGAGGTTCCGCGTGATTTCTCTCAAGGGATTCGGCGCGGTGTTGGGGCCCGCTGAAGTGCAAGAAGTTGTCTTTGGAACCAGTGTGAGTCGGCGGACCCCGGGCCACTGCGGAGGTAGGTGAGGCAGCTAACCATCGAAGATAGCCCGACTTTCTTCAGCCCTCCCCGTAATTGATGGCATGCTCCGGCACCGCAGGTGATGTCTTAAACTCCTTAACCCACCTCTCAGAGCTCTACAGTTTATTTCCGACCCCAGTTTCCCGGTACTATGACTCACTCTCCTGTTCACCATCATCAGCACCCGAAGTAAACGCACTGCTCTCAGGCAGAATTCCATCGCTTCCTCTTTCAAGTTTCTCGGAGTTTCGAATGGTCCTGCGTTGTTTCCTTTCAGAACCTCCGTCTTGGCGCCCCTCACAAACGATGAAGCTGGTGTAATATTAAACTACAGGGCTCAGAAATGGCACGCTTTTTCCAGGTAGAATTTAAAATGATCCTTTTCTGAGTCTTGGTGTGCTCTACGTTACTCGTGGTATTTATTGTTGCTGTAGTACCTGTCAGTTCACCTAAAACCAGTTTCTCATGCACTGGCTACGGCCAGGTCTTTTCCCTCTTCATTTTTACCTCATTTCTTGCCCTCTGTTTTTCGTACTGTTTCTCATCTCCTTTTCCCTCCTTCCACAAACGTTATCTGAGCGCTTCGTAAAAAATCTTCCTGGCATGAATTGTTCAGTTTAGCAGGCAAAAGAAATAATTGCATTGTGATTATGTGCGTTGACAAATCTTCAGAGTAAATAGGATCTTAGAAGACAGGATCCAGCCTTTGAGGGCAGAGGTTTCTTGTAGGACAGTCTGATTCCTGAATTGAGCCCTAAATGTTAAATAAGAAGTAGACAGAGGGGGGCATTTCTGGGGAAGAATACAAGAAGCCAGGCTTTGAGGCATGAATAAGAATGGTGTGTTAACAATAAACTGTTGGTAATAACAAGAGGTGGAGCTGGATGGGCAAGCAGATCAGAGCAGATGTTATGTGACCTCTATTGTGGAGTTTGAACTTGATTTTCTGGCAGTGTTAGGTTTGGAGCAAAGGCCCAGTGGTGACCATTTGGAAGATGATGAGAGAGTCAAGGAGAGGTTAGAGAGTCAGTAGATGAAAGACCTGAATTGGCGGTGGAGCTGGGTCGAACTCGATTTGGTGATGTTAACAAAGATTTGGGAGATAAGTTTGGTGGATCTTATGAACTATTCTGCTGGTAGGAATGAGAAGGACAAGTCAAGATTCCTAGCCAGAGCCAATCACCAGCCAAAATGGAGAAGATTGGGTAGGTGAGCACTTTTTATCATTGCATCCTTAGTGTCTACACCCCTGTAATCACAGCACTTGGGAGGCTGAAGCAGGAGGATCACAAATTTAAGGTCAGCCTGGACTTCATAGTGAGATACCCTGTTCCCCCAAAAAGAAAAAATGTCATGCCTATTTGATTTGGTGTTACTAATGTAATGTCTGTAGGCTTTTCAGAAGTGATGAACAGTAACACCACTAAAATCATTCACCTGATAAAATTGAATCTCTTTTGCATCTGAATAATTCTGGATAGGTGTTTTGGCTTCATGACATATTAAATTTTAAAGTTTTATTTTTTTCTTTTGTTTTTATAACGAGTTTTAATTTTATTCCATTCTGTCTTTTTAGTTTGGAATTGCTTTGTTTTTTCTTTGCTGCTATTTAAACCTTATAAAATAAACTTAAGCTGCTGTGGTGAAACATTACTTTCCAATTTCACTTTTAGTTTTTTAAGATATACACTAGAATTATTTTCTATTTTTTTCTTTTTGGCAGTTTTAAGCATTCAGGAAACAAAGTATATATACTAATTTTTTTTTTTTTTTTTTTTTTTT